GATATTGTTTTTTGCAAAATGCATTGCGAAATTTCCCCCATTTTTGCAATTTACGTATCGATCTTTTCCAAAAAGTTAATTTTTGCAATTAATTTATGCATTTCCTCTTTGCAAAAGCAGTGCCTTATTTTACCTTTGCTTTTGCAATTAATATGTGTGTCCTATTTTGCAATGAATACATCCATTCTTTCAAGTGAAAAAACCCCCGCATCCTTTCTCCTTTTTTGCAATTAATTAATGTATTCTATTTTGTAATTAAAAGATGCATTTTTTCCAATTGCCTATTTTTGCAATTAATTGATGCATCCTTTCTTTGGAAAAAAAATAGAGCATCCTTTTCCTTATTTTTGCCCTTAATAAATGCATGTCTTCCTTTGAAAATCAATTGCAAAAATATGCAAAAATATACATTTTGCAAATCCCCTTTCTCATCTTTTGCAAATGAATTGCTTTATTTTTTTCTCCCCCCAAAATTTGCATTGTAATCTCCTGTTTTTTGTGTCTTTTGGCCATAAATCTGTTACTGGGGCAAAAGTGTTTATTTAATGAGGAAACAATTTTGCAATTAATATATATATAAACACACACATATTTGTGTGTGTGTGGAAGCAATGCATCTATTATTTATATAATATAATATGCATTTATTTAAACCTGGGAAATATTTATTATATTTTATATTATATTATACATTGGGAAAATATTTGTTCTATATTATTCAGGATAATATTTATATTATATTATGTATTTATTAAACCTGGAAAATATTGTGTTATATTAATTTAAACATCAGGAAAATATAATATAGTATATAATACGTCAGAAAAATATATATTATACATTTATCAAAATGTCAGGAAAATATTTTTTGTAATTATATTATATGGATTTTTTTTATTAACATGGAAAATATTTATATTATAATATGCATTTATTTAAACTTGGGAAATATTTAGTATATATTATATTCCTGTGAAATATATTCCTAAAATAAATATCACAAATATCCTGAAATGTAAAGAAATACAAATAAATGTGAAATATAATATAATATATAAACATTTTCTAGGTTTAAATAAATGCATAATATAATATCAATATTATAATTTGTTTGTTTTATGGAAAACCTTTCTGTGGGTGGCTTGTGTGCTCTTTTGCATAATTAATTTGCTTAATTAACTGTGTTTTATGGCCCGTTTTGCAAGGAAAACGACTCTTTTTCAGCCTCTAGAGAGAGATTCAGTGTTAAATGGCTTGAAATGGCCGTCCGGGGATTTGTAGTTTGCAAGGAAATGCTTCTCAATAATACAGATAGATATATAGATATTGCATTGATTGCACAGAGTGAGTTTTTTAAAAATAAAGATATACTATTTCTTTTGCAAGAATTATAAAAATATTTTTGCAACAATGCGATAAAGGTTTGCAAGAATATTTTATGTTTTTCAGGAATATAATTTGCGATAATGCAACAAAGTTGGCAAAAATTGCAAGAATATTTTGCAAAAGAATATATATTTTGCAAGATTAACTTTGCAAGGATACAATATATATTTTGCAAGAATGAATGGACGATTTATTGCTTAGTGAGTTGGCCTAATCGAAACAGGCAGTGCAAACACAACATACAATATACATCTAGTTCTCTTAAAATAAAAATATACAGGTATTTGTCAGCTTGAAACCAATGTAGCAAGAATATTTTTCAATAATATAATTTGCAATAATGCAATAATTATTTAAATTAATAAATAAAATAAAAATTACATATTTTGCAACAAACTTTTGCAAAAATGTATATTTTGCAGGAATAATTTTGCAAAAATATCTTTGCAAGAATAGAAAATGTTTTGTAGGAATAGAATATATTTTGCAAGAATGGAATTTACAATCATTTCTATTCCACCCTCCTCACCCCGCAGGGGACTCAGGGCAGAGCACAACATGTATACAGCAAACATTTAATGCTGGGACATAGCCATAAATATACACAAACATTAAAATCACTTAAATCCACTTTAAAATCAGTTGCTTAAAAACCATCTCAGGACACCATTCTATTATTGCCTCATGACATATAATAATATTTTGCAGGAAGGTTTTTGCAAGGATATTTTAAAAAACTATAATATATTTTGCAGGAATATAAAGGTTTGAAAGATATAATATATATATTGCAGGAATATTTTTGCAATAATACAATATATCAGAAGAATATTTTGCAAGAAAATATTTTGCACCAATATAATTTGCAGTAATGCAATAAAGTTTGCAAATATAGCAACAACATTTTTCAAGAAAAAACATTTTTTAGAAATAGCTTTGCAAGAATAGACTATATTTTGCAGGACTATAATAGTTTGCAAGAATATATTTTGTAGGAATACACTTTACAATGATGCAATAACATTTTCAAGAAGACAACATATTTTCAAGAATATTTGCCAAAATATAATAGTATAATTATACAATATATTATTATTATTATGGAACATTATTTTTAAGGAGATATCTGCATGATTATATTGTATTATTATTACTAAAAACTTCTTTTCAAGGAAGGATGTTAGTATTAAACCTAATTGCAAAGGAATTATATTATTATTACATACCAAAGTTTCAAAGAGGGATTTATTATTATTATTATTATTATTATTATTATTATTATTATTATTACAAGCCTAATTTTCAAGGAGGGATTTATTATTTATTTAAAATTTTATAAGAATTATTCTATTTATTATTTAAAAACCTAATTTTTAAGTAGGGATTTTTATTATTATTATTTGAAACCCTTTTAAAGGATGGATATCTATTTTATTATTATTTTAAAAACCTTTTTATTCAGGAGGAATTATATTATTATTATCATTATTATTAATCCTTTTGTTTTAATTTTATTTTACATTTATTTCCCTTTTGTTTTTCTGTCCATCTTCTACCCCAGGGACAGTGTCCAAAGAAATAGGTCAATCTGTCATAAAAAGAAAAATGGTGGTGCAAAAGTATATGTTTTTAGGGTGCTTTTCTCCTTCCATTCATTTCAATAGCCTCAAGCTGCATTGGGTCAAGAAGCGGAAATAATAAATAATAACAATAAATAAATAAAACAAAAATGAAGCAGAATCCCGAGGCTTTTGTGTCAAGTTTTGTTTGTCAAAATATTATTTATATTAATTTATATTATTTATGTTCACAGTTTATTTTAATTATTATTTGTAATTTTATTGTATTATTTGTAATATTTAATATATTACTATTATGTTGTATTTTTCTCATATATACATGTGTGTGTGTGTTTTATTTTAATGTTATTTGCCAAAAATATTAGCTATATTTATGTTCATATCTCATTTTAATTATTTTTATTTTATCATTTGTAACATTTAATATATTATTTTGCATTTTTTCTCATATATAGTTAATATAATTAACATATATTTATAATTTTATTTATAGTTGTATTTTATATTTTATACTATTTTATAGTATTTTATTGATTACATATTTAGTTTTTAATATTTTTTTTCTTGTTTAAGTATTTTTGTTTTATCATAGTTATTACATTTGTTATACATTTGTTTATAACAGTTACATATTATTCAACACACTCTTTAACATATAGTCTTATTATTCTACTTAAGTATTTTCCCCCCTTTTTTCCCACCACTGTGCTCCCCTCCCCCATCTCAAGCCACAACTTTTACATATCATCTGTCCAAAATCTCATTTCTTCTTGTGACGGTAACTTTCCTTCTTTTATTTTTTAAACCATTTACTACAAATTTTCCCCATACAACATCAAAATCACTTTGTTTCCATATACCTTTTTAAACTTTTAATATACATGTAAGCTTATCGTTTATTGCCAGTTTCCATGCTTCCTTGTACCACTCCTCTATTTGTATATTTATTTCTTTTTTCCAGTTCCTTGCTATGAGCAGTCTTGCTATTGTTAATAGGTTTGTTATCGCTTCTTTATCCTCCTTTTTCAGTTGTTTATTGTTATATAATGATAATAAAGCTATACTAGGACTTTTCTCAATTTTCATATTCATTATAACCTCTATTTCTCTAAATACTTTCTCCCAAAAATTATTTACATATTTACATTGCCACCACATATGTATAGATGTTCCTGGTTCTTGACACCCTCTCCAGCAATTTTTTAATATTTTTGATTTTATTTTTCATATTACATTGTTACTACTTTAAGGGTTCTTACATTTTTTTTATTTTATTCTAATATTTCATAATTAGCATTCTTATATTTTATATATATTACTATTATGATTTGATCACTACATTATTATATTATATTGCCATTATTATATCGTAACCTTTTTGTATTATATTCTTATATAATAATTATATTTATGCTTACTATATTAATTATATTGTTGTTTTTATATTTATTATTATAGTTTATTATTATTTTCCTGTAACCTTTTATTTTGTATTATTATAATTATATTTTATTTATAATTTTTATATTATTTTAGTGATTTTTTCTTTAACTTTTCTTTTATATTTATTATATTATATTATTGATATTTATAATTATAATTGATAATTATTAGTATATTACCTTAACTTGTTATATGAAATAATAACTATTATTTTTATTATATTGTAATAATAAATAGTTAAATTTATTATATTATAGATATTTTATTATATTAAATATGTATTATATTACATTAACCTTTTCTATTATTATGTTATAGTTATTATATTTATTATAAAACATTTATTATTATGTTTATTATAGTAAATATTAATTGTATTTATTTTTGTTTATTATATTTACTATTACATTACTTTATTTTATTTTATTATTTATTATATTAAATAATTTTATTTATGTATTAATACATTATTACATAGTGTATTTTATTATATTTATTATATTCTTATATTAAATGTTTATTATTATTATATTTATATTATATTATTATTTTTCTATTTACTTTCCCTTCTGTCTTGCCTTATTCCTGCAGGACTTGATGTTGTGGTGAAGCCTCCTCCCACTTCCTGTCCTGCCTCTTCCTCTTCGGCTGGTTCCACTTCTTGCCCTTCTTCCTCCTCGTCCTGCCTGTTGGAGGCGGAGCTTTCTCCAGAGGCCCCTCCCAGCTGGAGGCGGGGCTTGCACTCAGACATCGCCAACCGCTTTGGGACATTCGTGGCTGCATTGACCTGAAGGAATGAGAAAGATAGAAAGAGAGAAGTCCCCAAAATGGAGGAAAGGCTCTTCAAATAGCTGTAGAAAGACCTTCAAAATGGAAGAGAAAATCTCAAAATGGAGGACGAAAGGCATTCAAAATGGTGGCCAAAATCACCTCAAAATCAATTCAAAGTGGAGGACGAAATTCCCTCAAAATAGGGGCCCAGAAGGCCTTCAAAATGGCAGCTGAACCCCCCCCCCCCAAGGCCTTCAAAATGCTGATATCCTCTTCAAAATCAATCCAAAAGGTCGGCAAAATGAAGGCTGAAAGGCCCTCGAAATGGCGACTGAACCCCCCTCAGAAGGCCTTCAAAATCCACTCAAAATGGAGGCCCGAGTCCTTCAGAATGGAGGAGAAATGGCTTTCAAAATGGAAGCCGAAATCCCCCTCATAATCAATTCAAAAGGCCCTAAAATGCTGAAAGGCCTTCAAGATGGATAAAACCCCTAAAAACGGGCCAAAATCCACTTCCAAATCAATCCAAAATGGCGGCCAAAAGGCCTTCAAAATTGAGGCCGAAAACCCTTCAAAATTAAAATAGAAAAGTCCCTCAAAATCTCTTTAAAATGGAGGCCAAAAGCCCCACAAAAATCCCCTCAAATATTAGGTGGAAAAGCCTTTAAAATGGAGGACAAAATGAGGCCCTGAAAGTTTTCGAAATGGAGGCTGAAATCCCCTCAAAATGGAAGATGAAATTCCCCCAAAGGACCTTCAAAATGAAGGACAAGGCCAAAATGGAGCCTTAAATTAAGCTCTTCAAAATGGCTGGCAAAGATCCCACAAAATGGAGGCCCAAAAGGCCTTCAAAACGGAGGGCTTTAAAAATGGAGGCCGAAATCCTGTCAAATGGCCAAGATTGGAAGAGGAAAGGCCTTCAGAATGCCCTCAAAATTGAAGTCAAAATCCCCTCAAAGAGCCTTCAAAAATGGAAGAGAAGGGCCTTCAAAATGGAGGCTGAAATGTTTTCAAAACGGAGGCCAAAAATGCCCTCACAATGTAGGCCTAAAAGGCCTTCAAAATGCCCTTATAATCGAGGCCTAAAAGGCCTTCAAAATGAAGGTCGAAATCCCCTCAAAATCAAGGCCGAAAGGCTTTCAGAATGAAAACACTCTCAAAACAGAAGCCCCAAATCCCATCAAAATGGAGGATAAAGTCCCCGCAAAGTGCCTCAAAATTGAGAACAAGGCCTTCAAAATTGAGCCTGAAAAATGGATGCCTAAAGGGCCTTCAGAATAGAGGCCGAAATCCACCTCAAAATCAATCCAAAATGGCAGCCAAAAGGCCTTCAAAATTGAGGCAGAAATCCCCTCGAAATAGAATAGAAAAGGTACAATCTCCTCAAAATTTAGGCCCAAATTGTAGGCCAAAAACCCTCCAAAATGGAGGCTGAGAAGAAAAAGGCGACCTCCAAAATGGCGGACGACAAACAACAAACTTCCTTTCTTCCTTTCTTTCTTTCAAAATGGAGGACAATATGGCGGATGGCAAATGACAACCTCTGCTGATTTCGAAATGGAGGACCTTCAAAATCGCCGCCAAAAAGAAGAAACCCTTCAAAATGGCGGACAGCAAACAACAAACAAACAACGGAATCTTTATTTCTCTTTTTAGGACTTTTATTTGAAACAAAAGGGAGAAAAAGGGGGAGGGGGTCATTTAAATAAACGTTTAGAAATATGTAATAATTAAGATTGTTGTTGTTTCCACATTTGTGTTCTAAAGGGAATAAAAGAAGGACGACAACAACTTCTTGGATCTTTTTGAGTTAGAACTGTGGGAAAGTTGCAAAAATGTTATATATGTTTCTAGTTATTATTAATATTATTAAATATTGTTATTATATGAAATAATAACAATCATCAGAAAAAATGGTGGAAATTTTTAGTACTAATAATGGAAAATGGCCAATAATTATTATTTTCTAATATTAATATGAATATTAGATATTGATATTATTAAATAACAATAATTGGAAAAATGGTGGGAAACATTCATAATATTATTAGTAATGATGATGAAAAATAGTGGAAAAATTGCCAAAATAATTATTACTTTTTTCTGATTATTATATTAATATTTTTATTTAATATCAAAATAATATTAAATAATAATCAGAAATTAGTGGAAAATATTCACAAGAATAATGGAAAACGGGGAAATCCACAAAAAAATACAAAAATTATTATTATTATCAATGAAAAATATTGGAAATAATAATCAGGAAAAATTAGCTGAAAATTCTCCCAAAATATTGTTAATAATAATCAAAAAGTTCTTGTGGGTTTTTTCGGGCTATATGGCCATGTTCTAGAGGCATTTCTCCTGACATTTCGCCTGCATCTATGGCAAGCATCCTCACTAGCTCTGAGGATGCTTGCCATAGATGCAGGCGAAACGTCAGGAGAAATGCCTCTAGAACATGGCCATATAGCCCGAAAAAACCCACAAGAACTGAGTGATTCCAGCCATGAAAGCCTTCGACAATACAGTAATCAGGAAAATAGTGGAAATTTGTCCATAATAACAATGAGGAAAATATTAGAAATCGTCAGAAAAAAGTGGGAAAATTACAATATAATAATAACAATCAGGAAAATTAGTGAATAGTAATAATCAGGAAAATATTCAAAATCATAAAAAAGTGAAAGTATTTCCTAAAATAATAATAAAAATAATAATATTAAAAATAATCAGAAACATAGTTTTTTTAATCCCTGAAAATATTCATAATAATCAGAAAAAAAAAAGAAAAAATACATTATTGTTGTTAATAAGAAAATAGTGGGGGGAAATGCAAAAAGATATATTTTTAATAATAGTCAAGAAAATATTGGAAATAATAAAACAAGAAAAATAGTATTTAAAAAATCCCCAAAAATATTCATAATAATGATCAGGAGAAATATTCCATCAAATAATAATAATAATAATAATGAAATAAATTCCCCCCCAAAATATTCCTTATTATTATTATTATTATTTGAATTCCTTAAAAAAATTAAAATATATCATTGTTTTGTTGTTTTACGGTTAGGGAAAAGAAGGGAATTTTTTTTTGTTTGATGATTGTTTGTTTGTTGTTTGCCTTTTTGTGTTTGTGTGTATATACCTGTATCATATGTTTCACTTGGAGCAACAGAGGAGGTGAGAGAGAAAAATAAAACAATAAATAAATAAATAATGCAGTGTTAAAAGGACGGTGGCTTTGCATAAATTTGCACATCGTTTGCATGTTGTTGTCCTTTATTTAATATTTATTGGTCAGTTTTCCTCTACATCTATCCATCTATTTATCCATCTGTCAATTGCATTTATTTATTCATCTGGCTATCTATATATCTATTCATCTATCATAGCTATCTATCTATAATAGCTATCCATCTATTGGTCTATTCATCTGTCAATATCTATCCTATCTATTCCATCTATATAATCTATATATATAAAAATGCTCATGTCGTAATGAGTGGCTTAAAAACAAAAGAACCGCTGGGCCAATACCCACCAAATTTGGCAACAAAACTCCTCACCATACAAGGTGTGACCATCAATAATAAAAAACAAAAAAAAACTTACAAATCCTAAAAAAGGAGAAGATACCACTGGGCACGCGTACTGGGACAGGGGGTGGGTGGGGTGCGCGCTCTCACACACACAAGAGAGCTCCACGTGGCGGAGCCTGTGCCGGCAACGGCCTGGAATCAGCCTTGGCTCTCTCCCTCCTCCTTCTCTCCCTTCCTTCTCTCTTCCCCCATTTTCTCCCTTCATGCCTTCCCTGCCTCCTCTCCTCCCTCCCTCTTTCCCTCATCCTTCCCCTCTTTCCTTCTCTCTTTCCTCTTTCCTTTCCTCCCTCCCTTCTATCATTCCTCCTTCCCTTCTTCCTCCGTCTTCAGCTCTCCCCTTGGGTGCTGCCATCAAGGGGCTCCAGTAAGCCCTGCCCCTAATAGAGCAGAGTGTGCTGGGGACGAAGGAAGGAAGGGGTGAGCCCAGTTCAGTTCCAGGTGAGCTGGACATCCAAGCAGCTCCCAAGGTCAAATTTCCACCAGAATTCACCTTTGGGCATATTGAGGATTCCTCCCAAGTTTGGTCCCGATCCATCTTTGTTTGGGTTCACAGTGCTCTCCGGATGAACAATTTCTCCTCCTCATTCTCTCATCGACACCAACGCCCCCTTCCCTCCCTCCACCCTTTCCTTCCTTTCTGTACTTCCCTTCCTTCTCCTTCCTTTAATTCTTTCCCTTCCCTCCTTCCTCCCTTTCCTTTTCTCCATTACTCCCTCCCTTTCTCCCTTCCCTTCCTCCTTTTCTTTCCTTCCCTTTTCTCCCCCACCCCCCTCACCAGCTTCATCCTTCTTTATTAAATCTACAGCTTAGATGCACTCAAAGTCACCCCTTCCACACTGCCATGTAAAATCCAGATTATCTACTTAGGACTGGATTCTATGGCAGTGTAGACACACACACACACAGATATGGATGGATACAGGATCACTGGTTGGTGGTATATATCTATATTCTGTCTATCTATCTCTATGTATATACATATATACATATATATAATTACAATACTATATATATTACTATTATATATATTGCTATATAATACATACATATTATATTATATATATTACTGTTATATCTATTACTATATAATATGTTACTACTATATGTTACTATATTAAATAGACTCCTAGAATAGAGTTAGAAGGGACTCTACCAGACAGGAGAGAAGGGAAGGAAGGAAAGAAAGAGGTACTGAAGGAAGGAAGGAACAAGATAAAGTAGACATGAAAGGAAAGGCAGGAAAGAGGTAAAGAAGGAAGGAAGGGAAAAGGAAATAAAAAGTGAAAGAAGCAAGAAAACAGTGAAGGAAGACATGAGACAAAGGAAGAAGTAGAGAAAGGGGGAGGGAAGGAAGGAAAGAGGAAGGATGAAACCAAAGAGTGAAATAAGGAATGAAAGAAAGAGGTAGAGAAGGAAGAAAGAAGGGGAAGAAAAAGGGGGAAGGAATAGGTAGGTACCTCTCTTTCATAATAGTCCAGATATCTACCTCTACTTCGAAAATTCTTACTATAG